ATGAAACTGTGCAAATAATCGTGAAGAGGGGGTTTTCTCAGAACCATCGTACTGTTTCTCTTGTAAAGTTTTGTTAAACAATGAGTATGCAAAACCACAGTATTTGAGTTTCATATATATGATTGTAATAGGATAATTTGTACCTTGATTCAAAAGATCTTCAGCAATTGGTTTAAGTATTGCTGAGTAACTATCATATCCATGGTTGTTGCTCAAGCGCTTTTCACGATCCAGAAATATATTGCTCCTGTTAGGGTTTTTTTTTATTACTTTGCAGTTGTCACTTAAACACAAACTTTTTTTCAAATCCAAGATGAGCTGGGGTGGTGCAGTAGCAGTGAGGAGCAAGGTTGGAACTGAGGGAAACATTGCCTTCAGACATGACAGTCCTTTAAAATCCTTTCTGAAGTCATTCCCCCTATAACATTAAAACAACTGTTTATATAAATTGTTATAACCCATAGCACAAAATCTAGGAAAGGCATTTTATAAGAATCACATTTATAAACAAATTTTGTCTTAGGCAGGGGTTTTCTTATTTGCCAGACATAGAAGATTTCTGGCAAGTGTTCAGTGGGGATGGTGCAAACCAAAGTGCATAGGTGCAAGACTGAGATGGGGGGGGGCAGTGGTTGGGCTTTGCAAGCCTTTGCCTTTCATCTCACAACAAACAATTTGGCTCTCTGATTAACACACAATACTGGTTGGAGTTCACTTTAGTAGTACTAAAACTGATATTAAAACAAATCAGATAAAATGTTAAAAGAGGAGTTTAATGCAATTTGTTGTAAATGTTGATGCATTTATAAATAACATGGACATTTTACTTACCACATTTCCACACAATGACCTTCGTCGATTACACAGGCTACAACATTCTTCTGATAGACATCTGATTTCATAAGTTTTCTGCCAACATCAGAAAGGAGATCTTCAGGATGAGCGAAAACTATGCTGGTAAGCCCATTTAGAAAATCGTCTGGCAAATGGATGTCGGCTGCCATGCCCATATCTTCATTGTTGAATAGCGTTTCACAATTTTCGTTTTCGTAACGTGATGGAAGAACACCGGCGTTAATACTCATTATCTTAAGACTGTGCAGCTGATCCTCGATGATAGACGAAAGAGGGCACAGCACAATAACAATGTTGATTGTTGTTTTTGTCGGCAATATGTCTGGAAGCAACTGAAATAAAACTGACTTTCCAAATCCAGTAGGCAAAACTGCAATAACATCATGTCCCTTACAAATGTAATCAAAACATTGTATTTACTGTGGTTTAAGTATTCTATTGGCCATACCCGCATTATGTAAAGCGATGTGTATTCTGTTGAGAATTTCTATATTCGCTAATACTGTATAAAGTTCTTTAGACAATTTTTATTTTTATTCCTGAATCTGCATAACTATTATGTAAATTATTCCTAAATTGTCAGAGGTGCTCATAAATTATCATACTAAACACCCCAAAATTCAGGGTGTCATGTGACCAGCCGAGGCCAGGGCCTTTTTCGCCGACGCCGCGGAGGTAAAATGCCCTGGGTACGAGGTTGACTTTGATGAAGACTTTAAATAGTTACCTTGACAAAGTTTTAAAACTGAGTTGCGGTAGAAGATGCTAAACAGCAATTAATTACATTTTCTGATATTATAGATTTAATGGATTTTAAATAAATGATAAATATGTAATTATACTTCGTATCTCATAGACAAATAGATTTTAAATAATTAAATAAACTCTATAAAGAGGAATCTTAATTTTAATATAACTATTTGTTCTGTAAATAGGTATTGAAAAACCTTCTCCGGGGATACTTCATTGAATAATAGTAAAAATATTAATATATGCGAATGGTATTTAGTGGAAAAGAAGGAATACATTGGTATTTTTTTTTGTTTTCTTCGAACAAAGTCTTCTGTGTCTTAAGCGAATGAATCGACCAAAGTCTTTTGTATTCTAAGGGATGAAGTTGGACTTATAAGCTATGTTTGGATTATACGCGTGATGGCACGGCGTGTGCACGTTTCGCGCGAGTAATCGCTTCCGGTGGCGGCACTTCAAGAAAAGTTCTCACCTTTTGTTCAGTAGTTTTGTCTTATCACCTTCTAGGATATGCAATTTTTCTGAAAAAAAAAATTCACAGTTCTGCGCCGCTGCGATAGGAAGGAGTTTGTTTTAGTATTGTCCATTTAATTTTTTTTCTTTAATTGGCAAAAGTATTAATATATATATATATATATATATATATATATATATATATATATATATATATATATATATATATATATATATATATATATATATATATATATATATATATATATTAAGGTGAAAATGTTCTCGAGTGTGTATTATATAATTTCTATACCCAGCGTAAGCAGAAAGATAAAGTCTGCCGCGGCTGGGTCTCGAACCCGCGACCTTAGAATTACTAGATCGACGCTCTACCAACTGAGCTACACAGTCAGACGGAGACCAGAAAACTGGTCCTTAACCAACTTTTTGTTAAATCCTCGCTTTATTACATGACCTTCCATTTCTTTAAGCCTATCCTGAAAAACTTTTTCCGAACTACAAATCCGTTTTAATCTTAGCGCCTGACCATAGGGGATTGCCTTCTTCACATGTGCAGGATGACAAGACTTGAAGTCTAAGTATTGATGTGTATCAGTCGGTTTTGAATACACATCCGTTTGCAATTTACCAGACTCCAATTCCACCCGCACATCCAAATAAGACACCCCTCTTTCCGAATATTCCCATGTATATTTAATTGTTTCATAATAATTGTTAATATAATTTAAAAATTCCAACAGGGATTCTTTACCATGAAGCCAAATAAAAAATATATCATCCAAAAATCTGAACCATACTGAAGGACTCAAGTGGTACCCCGCCAGCATTTTATTTTCCAGTTCTGCCATAACATTATTTGCAAACGCTGGAGCAAATTTTGTGCCAATGGCTGTCCCTAACTTTTGTTTATACACTTTTTCACCGAATTCAAAATAATTGTTATCTAATATAATTTTTTCTAAATCAATCAAATCATCTACAGAAAGTCCCTCCCCTTTATCCATACCACAATTTTTTCTGAAATCCTCAATACTTTTTCTCATACTAGACAGACCTTCCAAATGAGGAATATGCGCGGGTACAGTCGCACAACATCCATTGTGCACAAAATCGCTCCCTCTGGAATATCGCCCAAATCCTGCAGTCTTTTCAAAAAATCCGTTCTATCCCTTGTAACATTGGGCAGACTCTTAACAATAGGTTGTAAATAATGATCCACTAATTCCGATAAACCCTCCGTCGGTGTCCCACAGTTAGATATAATTGGACGACCTGGGACATCAACCAACCGTTTGTGAATTTTTGGAAGTAAATAGAATCTGCCAATTTATTATTCTTACCCCTTAGATAATTCAAATTCTTTTCGCTAATAACTCCCTTTCCTTTCAAATTCTCTAATTTATTCCGAACTATTTCTGAAAATTTTCAAGTGGATTTCCTTCTTCCGATACATTTTCGTAAACTAAAACATCAGCCAATTGTCTATTAGCTTCCTTACAATAATCCTCTAATCCCCAAACCACTACCGCAGACACCTTATCAGCCCCTTTTATTACTATATCCCTATATCCCTTTAAATTCTTAAAATCTTCTCGCTCTTCCGCACTCAAATTACTAAAATTATGACCCCTTTCCTTAATAGCCAATACCTTACCTTGCAAGGCATTCAAAAATGTTTCTAATGGTGGGTCCACTTTACTCAGGTACCATGACGACTTTTCTCTAAACTTACTTAATCCCTCTACATCAATTTCACTTAAGGGTCTTTTTCTTTAAAGTGTGCTCTACATTTCAGTTTCCTCGCGAATTCAGCTAGATCTTGTGCTAGTTTATGTTTATCAATCTATTTTGCTGTGGGACAAAAATTAAGTTCTTTTGATAGCACTTTAACTTCCGCATGCGATGGATTTCTAGTTGACAAATTAATTGCATTTTCACTAACAAATACTTGATTTACATCTGATCTCACCCTGCTTCGGTCCGCTTCATTACCGTCCAGCAATTCGTCCTCGATCGCTAATTCTACCATCTGATTTTGCACGCTTTGTATGGTCTCAGCATCTTCTGAACCGTTCTCTCTTCTATCTATATATATATATATATATATATATATATATTTATATATATATATATATATATATATATATATATATATATATATATATATATATATATATATATATATATATATATATACATATATCGTCTTTTTCCTCTGTCGAGACGTACTTAATCAGTTTCAGCTTCGAGCATGTAACGTGTACCGCCACCCCCACCCCATTTCTCTACGGATTAAGCCTTTCTGACAAAATGGTTTTTGTGGCGATTGGGAGGGGGGCTCTTAATATAACTTGATATTTTTAAGAAAAAAAATTGCAATAAAACCTCCCAAAACACAACGCCTCATGCGGAGGAGAGTGCTAGGAAATAGTCGCAAGGCTTGGAAAGTCTAGCATTTTATCGGATTGTTGTTTGGATGAAATCAATCGCTATTATGAAATATTCGGCGAAGAATAATATGAATTACACACAAGATGGCTGTGGAGGAGGCTATGCAAGGGCATAATCTCATTATCAATAAATCAACTGCAATTCTGACAGCAATCATGAGCAATTCTGCTTCGCATGTACATTGGGGGCAGAAATGGCTTTACTGGGGGGGGGGGG